GTGTGTGTGTGTGTGTTGGAGAGATGTCGCCTCACACTTCCGATCTGCTACAGACTCACCAGCCAAGTGTCCTCGTCTCCACTCGTCTTTTAAACCGAGTCCCGGCTCCCGCGCTCCTTTTCAAACCAGCATCAGGTGTGCTCGACATGACGTCAGAGGGCGGGCGGCCCCCGGCCCACCAATCACGTGCGGCTAACGCGCTGGATGACGTGGGCAGTCAGCTGCTGTGTTTCATGTTCCACCGGCTGAAGTGTATAAAGGTCCATTCCGCCTGTTTATTTCCTGTTTTGATATAATCTAGAACTTCTAATAGAGTTTAGCATGTGACTGAAATCATGTGACTTCATGGGGGTGTGGTCATATAATTATATCAAATATGATTGAGATGTCATTGCAATTGTCTAAATGGGGTGATTATGAATTTAGAGACTTCCTGAAGTAAATTAAAAAAGGTAAACTAAAGAGAGGTAGCATATGGTCAATGGATTACATTTTAATTGATTTAAATAAAAAAGTTATATACATTTAATAGAATGTTAAAATCAATCACATTTTCTATGTGTCGATATGAGTTAATGACATTTCTAATAATCATATACATTTTCTTCTTCAGCTTTCTGTCCCTTTAGCATAATGTTTTTTTTAAAAATGGGTAATGTTGAGTTGGACATGTCAGCAAGGTCATTTTTTTTAAACCTGATATAAATTTCCCAGATTACCAAGTGATGTGTCCCAGATTATCAAATTCACTGAAAGCTGTGCCATGTCTCCTCGGAGTATATCTCCATTCTTTCTTCTGGTGTGGTTAGAAAACAAGTATTATAGAAACGTATGATGTGTTGATCTAATGTGTTAAACAGATCTCGGAATTTTTTGCAGAATTCAAAATTTGTATCTAATTATCCTTTATTTATTTACTTAGGTATGTTTACTTGTAGTGTTTTTTGTCATCATTTTTTATCAGAACTGTTAGGAAAACGCACATACCTGTCCTGTTGTACATGCCGAAATACCTTGGATGTCTCCTAGTGGTCTTCAGTACAGTATATATCACAGACATGGACACAGACAACAAATTAAAGTACAAAAAGACAGGTCTTTCATTTAGTTTTTAAAGTGATGATTGCCATCAAGAATACTTAAGTATGTTTATGTCATGGACTTTTAGTAAAAACACAAACAATAAAATGAATCATTCATTTCAACCTCTTGTCATGGGGATCATAAATGAGCCATGAATATATAAGTGATAAAACCACAACTACTGAAGTACCCCCTCAGCCTACAGCTATCACCTCTCAATAAAATCATTACCAGATTATTTCTACTTAAATCTAATACATACTTCCATTTGAAATGTCTTACAGTTCCCTTATAGTTCCTCACAATGAGGATATATATATATCTTATAGTTCTTCCCTAATGCAGAAGTTTTATTTTCTCTTAAAATAAAGATGCACAATGAAGTAGTTGACACCCAGCTCTGTTCAACCAGGGTTTCCTTATAGCAGCAGCTGATGAACCATTAAAGCACAAGTCCTCATGTGACCACAAAGAAAAAAAAAATCTTTATTTCTTTTCTTATCAAGATACATTAAAGGATACAGAGACATTGGAATAAAAAACACTTGAGAAAAACTTTCAATTTTAGCATGTTTGTCTCTCCGCCATACAAAAATCAACACCCTGTCCCTTTTGAATGTTGCCCTTGGTTCAAATGACCAGTCCCCCCACCCCCCACCCAATGAAGGAGAGCAATGTTTCACATGTACAGTAGCCTATTAGAGCCATCTCCACAATAAGGAGAATTACACATTTTAGCTGTAAAAAAAAAAAAAAGTTTCCAATATGCCAGTTTTCCACTTTTCTTTACAATGATTAGTATTTGCTACAAAGTCAACACTTCAGTTTCTTTCTTTTTTGGGGGGACAAATATTACAAAGCCCACATTGGGACCAGACTTGCTTATAAAACCAGAGTAGCCCCTCGCTGTTTTGAGGCTAAGGAATACACAGGAATTATAATTATCCAATTAACATCTTACTTTTAGTATTTACCCTTTCATAATGGTACAGACAGGGGGAACTAAAACAAACAAAGCAAATGAAAGCACAAGTTGACACAGCTAGACTCCTTTCATCATCAAACCCAATCATAATCAGAAACATCACTTTTGCTCCGCATCATCAAACATTACAGAAGAAGATTAAGGCCATGGGGGGAAAAAAAATCTGAATCAATGAGAAAAAGTACGCATTCAACCTCAGACTCACTTTGCTTTTTTTTTTTTTTTTTTTTCTTTTTTAAGAACAAATTTTGGCCCCAATTGTCTTCCAAACATTTACATATTGCGCTTTATTAACAGACTTTCATCAACTGACCAGTAACGTAACTGCAACGGTTTCATTCAAACCAATTAAAACACTACATTTTCAGAAATGCTGTGGCTCAAGTCCAACATTAGCTCAGGGTGAGAACACCAACCTTTTACCAACATTATGGCTTCACTTTGGACTCAAACATAGTACCTCAAAGCCAAATGTGTTCTCTCAGCATCGCAAGTCACACAGTAACTCGTGCAAATTCATGGTTACCACAATCATCTGAATGTCATTAAACACAACATGCTTCCCTCCTACAGACAATGATTCCAGACTGGCTGCTCAGACTCCTCAGGGTGAGGTGGAGAGAACAGGAGTCAGGGTACGTCTCTCTTCAAACGGTCTAAAAGTGGATACAAAACCTGGCAATCGAGTGACAGGCGATGCAGCTTGACTGCAACAGCAGCCCATGTTCACTTTCTTTAAAAATGACCACTGTGTGCCTTGTGAAGGTTCACACAAGTATGGAAGATTATTAGTCACAAAACTATCAAGTGAGCACCAAACAAATTTGAGCCAGGATTAACATCAGGCTCTACGAACAGTAGAAAAACCACATCGGTAAAATCACGATTCAGTAAAAGAAAAAAAAATATCACAACAACCACCACATTTTGTGCATTCTCATTCAACTGGCTCTAATTGTCCACTCGTCAGTTAAGATGCTTCATGTTGTCAATGATTAGCATTGACAGGATGTGTGGTTGTTAAGACCATCTGTTGAAATAACCTGATTAGAATTGAAACGATTAGTTTCTTAATCGATTACTTGATCAGCAGTAAAAACCAATTAGCAGAATCATTGATAATGAAAGTGATGGTGAGTTGCAGTCATGACTCCGGCACTACTTACACAACACTGTCTCAGTGGAGCTTTAAGCTGTGAGCAAAGAAACTCCTGCTGTTAAAATACTGTCACTATCTCCTGCCAACTCAAAACATGTAATAGACTCTACATTCTGTCCTCACTTTGTCTACAGTTGTGTTCTGTACTCACTTGTGCCACTGCAAACTCTCAAACCTAGACTTTCACACTTCTCAACTTGTTTTGTGCCCACTCAATATTTTTGACACTGAAGGACTTGCACAAGATGGAGGATGCAGGTGGGATGAACCAGTGGGGGTAGGCCGGAGCTGTTCTAACACCAGTAACGGGCTCCTGACTGATGATGGGAAAAGCGGATGAGTTACAGGCTCATTAAAAACTTAAATGTTGGCAGGTGGATCGAACACTGAAGTCAGCTCTGTCAACCTGACAAGTGAGCATGTGCACAGCCTACGACTGACAGTTGTCAGATTTTCCCTGATGGAATGGAGGAGACGATCATACGAGTAAAATCTACAACTCAGATCAAATAAAATCTCCTGCCTGTTACAGCTGTCCCACACTGAGTCTCCCATTGCCATCCTCCCACACATTCTCCTCACATACAGTGGGCACACACCCCTTCAATGATGCATATATTTACACAAAGATAGCGACATGGGAGGAAAAACAGTGTGCTTCATCACCATTGTTTCAGGATGAGAAATATCATGATTTAAATTACACATTTAAAAAACAGGCGGCATTTAAAAGGGGAGCAAAGTAATTCATCAGGATCTGGAATAAAATACTACAAAGCCCAAGGTATTGAGTGAGTTTCAGTGAGGTGATGTGTGTCTATTTGTTTATTACGATGGAAATGTACAGTCACGTAAGTGCTTGTGTGTGTGTGTGTGTGTGTGTGTGT